CCTCTGGAGCAGCCTCCGGAGCCGGGATCGGGCAAAGCTCCCGCGGCGCCCCGCGATCGTCCCCGACCGCCGGACCAGCCCCTGAGCGTCTCTGGGCACCCACCGAGGAGCTCTGCCTGGTGGCCGTGTCCCCTCATTGTGTCCCCGGCACCTCGCTGTGTCCCTGGCTAACCCCTCCTTGTCCCTGGCTGCCGCAGGGTGGGGTGTCCCCTTGGTACGGGAGAGGAGCGGGGGGATCCGAGTGCCGGCTGCCCCCCGGGAGCTCCCCGAGGCCACCGGGCCCTGCGGAGGGTCCGGAGCTGCTCCGGGCTCCCCCTTGTCCCMGGTCCCCTCGGGCCTCTCCGGGATGCTCGGGCTCGCAGTGCCCTCTGGTGACCGCGGGCCGGCGGCCGGGAACGGCCACCCCGGGTGGGCGAGGGGACCCGGGGGGCTCGGCTGGGGCGGGGCAAACCACGTCCCGCAGAGCAGCGGAGCTTCGACTCATCCATCGGAACCTTCGAGGAGCGGCCGGTGCCAYYCCAGCCCTGGGCAGGGACATCTCGCACCGGGCSGGGCTGCTTCCAACCCSTGGGGCACCCACAGCTCTGCAGCTCCTCCACAACGCGTTTCCTCCTTTTATCCAATCTAAACGCACYCTCTGCCAGCTGAAAACTCTTCCCCCTTCTGTCTCAACAGCTCCTGGTGAAATCCTCTCTCCACTGATCTGCCAAGATCCCTTAAGTATCATCAGGACACCAGAAGKTTTTCTCCAGGCTGGGTCTTTCCCCACAGGAGAGGTCCTTCCAGCTCTCTGACCATTTCCATGTCCCTCCTGGATCCACTCCGGCTCATCCAGGATTGCTTTGCCCCAGATCCTTATGCCACTCAGGGCAGGAGGATCCCTGGCTGCTTCATTTGGGTTTTCATGATCCTGTCTCTTCCTGCTGGCTCACCCCAAGATTTCTCCTTTCTTGGGCAGGCCGCCTCTCCCAGAGTCTCTGCAGGTCCTTGGGACATCCACGCTGCCCACAAAGTGTTCCTGTGGGGCGGCTCTGGGCATCCTCTACTGTGTGCCGTGGGTGGGTGATGGCACCCCAGGGATGCTCCAGGCTGGGCTGTGCCCAGGGGTACAAACCCTCCTGGAAAGGCAAAAGGGGGATTTGGGGAAGCTGGAACCTTCCAGAGGCTGGGGGTCCCCATCCTGTCCCCATCAAGCTTCCCATCCCCCCAGGCTGCGTGGGGAGCTCTCCCGCCCAGCCAAGCACCCGAAGGAGCTGCAGCTGTGGGAGGCACCCACCTTGTCTTTAAAAAATAGCTCAGGAGCCTCATCTCAGCTCCCAGCCCATCCCTGGGGATACACAGGGGTAACCCGAGCTCCCCCCATGGAACCCAGCGGGGTCTGTGCCCTCTCAGTGCTCCCGAACATCCAGACCCCCGGGCTGGGGTCCCTGAGAGAGAGCAGGAACGTGCCCTGGAAAGGCTGAGGGAGCTCAGGGAGGCTGTCAGGAGAGGAACCACGGCTGAGGGTCCCCAAAGCACGGCAAGGAGGGGATCTCTGTGGTAAAGTGAGGGTCCCTTTGTGAGGTAGGGGCTCCCTTTGGCAAGACAGGGATCCTCAAAACAAGGAGGGGGTCCATAGGTCAAAACAGGGGTCTCCATGGCAGGGAGAGGGTCCCCATGGCCAGGTGGGGTTCCCATGGCAAAGAAAGGGTCCCAATGACAAAGAGAGGCTCCGCATGGCAAGGTCAGTGTCCCAAAGACAAGGCGGGGTCCCCATGGCAACATGGGGATCCCCAAAGCAAGAAGGGGGTCCCCATGGCAACATGGGGATCCCCAAAGCAAGAAGGGGGTCCACAGGTCAAAACAGGGATGTCCATGGCAAGGAGAGGGTCCCCACAGCAAGCAGAGGGTCCACAGGTCAAAGTAGGGGTCCCCATGGCAAGGTGGGGTCCCCATGGCAAGGTGGGGTCCCCATGGCAAAGAGAGGGTCCCAATGGCAAAGAGAGGGTCTCCATGGCAAGGTGAGTCTCCCAAAGACAAGGCGGGGTCCCCATGGCAAGATGGGGATCCCCAAAGTAGGGAGAGGGTCCACAGGTCAAAACAGGGGTCCCCATGGCAGGGAGGGAGTCCCAATGGCAAGGTGAGTGTCCCAAAGACCAGGTGGGATCCCCATGGCAAGGAGAGGGTACACACCAAAGGGAGAAGTTTCCCATAAATTTATGAAGCTCCCAGCGGCTGGATGAAAGTCCTCAGGGCTGGTCGAGGGTCCCCACATCGAGACGAGGGTCTMACAGTCCCTGCAGCAGTGTGAAAATCCCCATGGCCGTGTGAGGGTCCCCACAGGAGCCTGGAAGTCCCCATGTCCTYGTCCACCCTCACCTGGATGGGGGGAACCTGAGGGAGAATGGGATCCTTTGCGGGAAGAGCTCTGAGCCCTGGGGTCAGCACGAAAGGGGCTGATCCTCGGGGGTCCCCGTGGGCCGTGCCAGTGCGGTGACCCCCGGCCGGACAGAGCCCCCCTGCTCCCCCACCGTCCCCCCGCTCTGGCCGGGCCCCCGCGCGTACATCCTGCGGGGCGGCGAATGGAGCTGCCTATTGATTCGCAGCCCGGGCTAAAAATAACTTTCAACTCTTCATCCCGAGCTGTGAAAAATCCCCCATTGCTAGGCGACGGGTTACCGGGAGACAGCGGCGCTAGGCGACGGCGGTTGCTGCGGCGACGGCCCCCCGGCGCACTGCGGTCCAGCTCGGCCACCGCCGCTCCGGCCCCAGCGCGGATGCCCCGGCCGGACCGGGGATGCTCGGCCCGGGCTGCCAGAGCCSTGGGGACCGGCTGGATGCGAGCCGCGGCATCCCCGGGGCTGGGATGGGAGGGCAGCAGAGGGCTGAGGGAGCCGTGYCACTCGGCTCTCGGGTGCTGGCCTGGCCTGAGTGCGGGGACACCGGCCACCACCCTCCTGGTGCTCAGCAGGGACAGTCCCCACGAAGCAGGGGGGCTCAGGAGGCTTGTGATGGTGACCAGTGGCTGCAGGGTGGAGTGGAGTGACCAGCACCCCACATCAGGCACCCCAGGGTGTAGGGACTCCCTGGGCAGGTGACACCCAGCTGTGTCCCCTTCCCTGGGGGTATGTGCATGAAGTCTCCCCTTGCCCAGGGACTGCCCCAGTAGTTGTGAACCTTCTTGGCATAAAAATGTCCCCAGGACATGGGGCCACCACAAGGTGTCCCCTCTGGGGCCTGGAGCTGCAAGGGGTTAGTGACAATGGGCTTGCGCCAGGGCCAAGGGGACAGCAGGGACCATCCAGGTCCCTGTGTCTCCCAGTGCCTGCCAGCTCCGATGGCACTTGGCCAGCTCTGGCCGCAGAGTGGGCCCCCAAGGGCTGGACCATCACCCTGCTGCTGGGGGGCCATTCCCCTGGAACACCTCCTTGGGGACAAGGACACTGCTGGGGGGACGGGGCACTGCTGGGGGGACAAGGGATTGTGGGGTGAAGGACCTGCAGTTCCTCAGGCCATGGGGAAAAGAAGTGGCACCTGGATGGGGCCATAGGCTCATCCCTGCTGTCCCTGCTGTCTCTGGCCCCTCCAGCATCTTCTGCATTTGTCACCCACTGGGCAGGGTGTGATGAGGATGTGGATGTGGATGTGGATGTGGATGTGGATGTGAGTGTGAGTGTGAGTCTGAGTGTGAGTGTTTGAGTGTGTGTGCACAATCTCCTCCCCCAAGCCCCCTCCCAGCTGCCAGTGCGAAACCCAACCTGCCTTATAAATAATGGAAGCAGGAGCCAGGCGCCGGATGCAGGCGGCTCCCTGCGCCTCCCCAGGGCCAGCCGGGCGCAGCGGCCGAGCCGGACCCGCTGCTCGCATGGGGCCGTGCCAGGGGCAGCCAGAAGGGACGGGGTTTAACGTGGCAGCCGACCAGTTCCCTCCGCTCTGGGGAGCAGTGGTGAAGCTGGTCCAAACGCGGGTGCTGGCTGGGTGCTGGGAAATGGGGGGCAGAAATGGGACCCCTCCCAGAAGGTCGCAGTGCCAGGCGTGGCGTGGGCAGATGAATCCCCCCAGCATCTGGGTGCAGCGCCCTGTCCTGGRTGCCCGCTGTGTCCCGGGGTGCTGGTGTAGGGTCGAGTGTCCCYGCTGTGCCCCAGGGGCTGTCAGCAGGGCCTGATCCAGCTGCCAGAGTGAGAGGGGTCTGCAGCAGGATCTGCACCAGGATCTCCAGCCTGTCATGCCCTGCTGGGGAGAGAGCCAGAGCAAACATCCATCTGTCCATCCAGCCTTCCACCCCTCCCTCCATTTCTCCATCCACCCCATCCCTCCATCCCTCCCTCAGTCCCTCCATCTGTCCTTCCGTCCTTCCATTTCTTCCTCCACCTCTCCATCCCTTCAGCTCACCATTCTTCCCTCCATTTCTTCATCCCTCCATCCTCTCTGACCCCTCCATCCTCATTTCTCCATTCTTCCCTCCATCTCTCCATCTCTCTATTCATCTTCCCATCCCTCCATTTCTTCCTCCAGCCCTCCCTGCATCTCTCCATCCTTTCCTCCATCTCTCYATCCATCCCTCCCTCGATCCTTCCATCTCTCCATCCCCCCTCCATCCTTCCATCCCCCACTCCATCCCCCATCCTTCCACCCCTGCATTCCCCCACCCACCACCCCTCTTTCCCTGCACACCCAGCTGCCAGCCCAGCCCTGCCCGTACCCCCCCGCATCATTCCGTGTGTCCCGCACCCTCACCTCGCCTCTCCCGGTGCCGGTGCCTGTGCCTTCCCGTCGCGCTCCATTATCGCTGCCGGTGACCGTGTCCCTTTAACAGCCTCCGCTGCTGACACGCGTGTGCGTGTGTGCAAACGCGCGTGTGCGTGTGCTCCCAGCTCCCTAGGCTGGCTGGCAGGAGGGACCCCCCTTCTCCATCCCCCCGGATCCGGATCCGGCCCCATTCCCCCCCTCCACTCCCCGCTTATTTTTCCTGTTGTTTCGCGGGGTTGGGGCGGGGGCCGGGCGGGATCCGGCCCCTTTGCCAACGGGGATTTTTGGGGGGATTATTCGGCGTTTTCTTCCTGGTGGGATTTTTTCCTGCAACCGAGAGAAGACRGGCACAAGGCATGGCATGAGCTTCGGGAGACAGGGCTGGAGGTAAGAGCCGCTCGGGAAACCCTTTACAACACAAAGCCGGTGCCGGGGTCGGTGCCAATGCCGGGGTCGGTGCCGGTACCGGTGCCTGTTCTACCGCTMCTGGTACCGGTACCGGTACCGACACCGCCACCGGCACCGCAACAACCCCGAGCCGCATCCCGCATCATGGAGCCGCGTTATATAACGGCGGCGGAGCCGGCCCGGCACCGGGGCTCCCGGTCCGGTGGCCCCCGCTCCGCCCCCGCCTCCCGGTGGCTCAGCAGAGGATGGTGGTCGGCGTGACCCTCCCCCGCCCCGGTGATGCTGCCCCCTCCGCCCCCCTGGTTTGGGGAGGGGGGATGCTGGGGGTGAGGCGATGTGTTATATCCCCCCCCAGCATGGCCGGGCAGCACCGGGTGGGTAACGGCAGCGAGAAGGGSGATCAGGTGGATCCCGGGGGATGCGAGGCTGCTTCGGGATGGGGCTGTAAGGGGACATCGCTGTAAGGGCAGGGTCACCCCGGTGTGGGGTTGGTGTTTGCCCCCTTCCACCTCTGCTGCCAGCCTCCAAAATTCCTCTTGTCCTCCCTGGTGTCATCGTTGGCACCCACGAGGCTGCACCCAAACATCCAAACACCCCAAAACCTCGGCGTATCTTTCTGCAGATGCAGGGTGACACCAGCCAAGGGATGGGGGGACGGGGGCAGCCTCCCCCATTCTGGAGCCCAGGAGATGGAAGAAGAGGAAAGCCTTGGCTGGGATGGGGCTGAGGGGGCTGAGCCTCACAGAGGGGTCCTGCAGAACCCAGTGTGGGGCCAGGGATCTGCCATCAGTTCGGGATGGGAACAAGGAGTTTGTTTTGGTGGGGCAGGGGCTGGGGTTCGGCAGAGGGATCGGTGTGTGTGGTTGGGGACCAGGCAGGCTGGACCCATGGAATGGCTGGGGCTGAGCATGGATGGGGGGAATGTGAGGCACGGGGTTCTGGCAGCAACGGGACAGAGACCCCCGAGACCTTGGCCGTGTGGGGGTCAGGGGGTGCCATGGGGCACTGGCTGAGGTGGCTCTGCTTCCCGGGCATCGGCCGGTGCCGCTGGGACGTGGCCATGCCTGGGCAGCCAAGGCCAAAGCACAGCAGTCCCTGCAGCAGTGGTGCTCCTGGCAGAGCTCCTGCTCCGTGCCCACCCTGTGTCCGGGCTCTAGGGGCTCTCAGCCGCCTCCCCAGCAGTCCAAGAGGCTCAGCACACRGCGGGCTGGGAGCAGCGGGCACAGCGAGCGCCATGCCGTGCTGGCATCTTCCCTCCTCTGGAAGCTGAGTGCTGATTTCACTCCGGCTACCAGGAAGAGGGAGGGAGGTGGCTTTGGAGTGGGGAGAACTCGCTCAAGCATCCATTTTTAATGAGCTAGATATCTATTTTTCCCCGAGCTGGCTTCCCCCACATCGATCCCTTTGCCTGCTCCCCTCCCCGTGCCAGCAGCTCCATGGCAGTGGGGAGCAGCAGGACAAGCATCCGTGGCACTGGAACCCTCATGYCACCCCAAACCCTGCTCCTGGGGAAGGAGTGACCCTCACTTGGGCCAGGGAAAGGTGTGAGTGGGTAAAGGGTTCCTTGTCTCCTCTGGTGGGGTCAGCACCGTGTTGATTGTCCCAYGGAGATGTGGCCACGCTCCAGACAGAGGAACAGCTGGAGTGGGAGCTCTCGGAGTTGGGAGGCTGGCTCTGCCCCTCTGCTCTKCAGGTTTCAGCTGTGCCTGGCTCAGGCTCTGGCAGCTCCATGGCAAAGCCACATCGCCCTGCCTGTAGCTGTTCCCCCATCTCCAGCCTCAAACTGCTCCCCAGCAGTGCCCCAGCTGTGCAGAACGAGCAGAGGGTGCAAAGGGAATTTGGGAGGCGAGTGGGTGCTGATGGTGTGGGAGGGAGCAGGATTGGGTGCGTGGGCGAGCAGAGCTCCTTTGGCAGCATCCCACCCCCTGCCAGCCTCTGCCCACCTGCCACGGGGACCAGCCACGTGTGCTGGGTGCTCCGGGGCTGCTGGCTCATGGGAGGAGCTCGGGCTCAAGAGCAGAGGGTTTGGGCAGGGGGTAGTTCGGCAGAAGCCGTTTCTCCAGGGTTTTTCCCTGCTGGAGAGGTGATTTGTGCCCAGCCCCTGGACAGGGGAAGCAGAAGGCCACGGGGCTGAGCTGGGAGCTGGATCAGGATGGTGCCAGTGCTTCCAGGAGGCATCTGATGGTTTTTGGAGCCGCTGTTGGCATTTAGCACCCACAGCCCACCGCGTCAAGGATCCTCTCAGTGCTCATGCCTGGACACTGCCTGTCCTGGTGTCCCACCAGTCTCATGCCAATGGTCCCTGCTTGACCCTGGCTCTCAGCTGGACCCCGGAGCCCAGGGGCCAAGGGGCAGCAGTGTTTTTGTGGCTGTCACCGTGCCTGGAGGGATGAAGGGGTTTGGGGAGGCTCAAATCCCAGCAGCACCTGAGGGAGCACACTTGGAGACAGCTCTCCTGGCTCCTCATGGGATCCAGCATTTCACCCCTTCCTGGGCCCAGGTGGGGCAGAGGGAGGGCTGTGACACGCTGGGAGCTGTCACTGGGCTCTGGCTGGGCTTGTAGAGAGGGGAGGCCAGGCTGGGCAAGATTCGGCACATGAGGAGCTGCTCCCTCTTCTCCTTGCCCTGGTCAGTGGGGAGCAGGGAGAAGCTTGGCTGAAGCATGAGCATCCTGCCATGGTGGGAGAATCAGGATTCCCAGAGGAGGCTGGAGGGGACAGGACTGGGGACACACCTCTGCCTTGATCTGTCCATCCTGTGCTCCTTTTGGGTGGGGGGGTCCTCCCAAGGGGACAAGGGGCTGACTGGGGTGAGAAGAGAGGTCAGAATTTGCCATCTCTGGGAGACTGAGGGTTTAGCAGGGAAGGTGAAAGCTGATGCCGGAGTGGCTTGGTGGTCAGAGGGAACGCTGTTGTGAGGAAGTTTTGCTTGGCCAGGCTGGGAGCTGGAGTTCTGCCTCCCCCTATAAGGGGGTTGTGGTTGAGGGCTGGGGTGGACAGGAGCTGCATCTCCCAGTGCCCCTGGACAGGAGCTGCTCTCTCAGCAAAGCCTGMAGTGGTGGTTACCTGAGCACAGCTTGGCTCTGGCACCTCAGGCAGCTTTTCCCATTCCCTGGGCATGGGGCTGACCCTGCAAAGCTTGACCCTAACCTTGGGGAAGGCTGTGGGTCGTGGCAGAGAGCCGTGCTGGGGGTCCCTGTCATGGCAGCTCTGCTGCCTGTCCATGAGCTGCGAGACCCAGCGATGMATTCACCAGCCCACCCAGCACCGAGAGCAGCAGCCCCCAGCAGTGGCACCCAAACCAGGCATTTCCCGAGCCCCTCCTGGGTCTCTTTGGCCACTGCGAGGTGGGATGAGCTCTTTGGCGTCGCTGGGAGCCAACAAGAGGGTGGGGAAGCCGCTTTCAGCCCTTTGGTCTCCCCAGGAGCTCTCGGGGCAGTGCCAGGAGGAAGTTTCCCAGCTCCCGTCACACAAGCACCAGGTCTCAGGGCCCGGTGGAGAGGGAAGACCCTTCCCCACCGTGAATTCCTGGATTGTGCAGCCAGAAGGCAGGCCTGAGTTTGGAGCCGTGCTCTGAGCCTCTGTCCCAGCTCACCTGTGTGAGTGCCGAGCCTGGGAGCACAAACCCACCTGTGCACACCCATGCAGGAACAGCATCTCCCTAGSCAAACACAGCCACTGCTCCTCCATCTCCAGGGTCTTTAGTGGCCCCTCTGCATTRCTGGGGTGATCCAAGCCCTCCAAGGGATGGTCACACAGCCACCACTCACAGCCCGGGCAGAGTTCTGACCCGGTGGGATGGGAGCAGGAGGCAGCTGCTCACCGGGGAGCTCTGCAGCGGGATGTCTTTATCACTGCCATGTGCTCGGGGCGGCAGGTTCAGCACCCCCGGGAMAGCGCCTGCCTGGCTGGGGCCATCGCGCAGGGCCGAGGGAGCCGCAGGGAGCTCAGCCCCTCAGGAGCGCTGGACAAAAGCCTCGGCTGCGTGCTCCGCCACAGCACTCCGTGTCGGGTGTGTTTTCCCCGCCTGTAGAGCAACTTGATTTGCTGCATTAGTAAAAATAGACGGGCTAATGAATTCAGCTGATGCAACCCCGGGCGCGCGTGCCCGCGCCGGCTCCGGCTGTGCGTGTGCGAGTGTGAGCGCTGTGTGAGCGGAGCAGAGCGGCGTGTGCCAGCCGGGGCATCCTCCCTCCGCCCGGGCTGACAGGGGCTGTGCGAGCCCGTGTGTGCGTTTGTACACCGGCTCCGGGCGTGTGTGTCTGTGTGTGTGTGTGTGTGTGTGCAGGCAGCCGTGAGCGATGGCTGCTCGCTGCCGCACAGCTCTGCCGCCGGAGCGGCGGCTGCATGGAAATCCTTTCGCAGCAGCCTTGGGTCCTGGCAGGGCAATAACAAGGCTTCGCGGCGGGCTGGGGGGAGCTGGCGGGGCTCTCACGGGGAGCCTGTGGGGCAAGAAAGGATCCTCGCAAGGGTCTGGTGGGGCAGTAGCAGCTCTTCACAGGAGCCTSCTGGGTGGCAGTGGGATCTCTCACAAGGATCTGTTGGAGCAAATCTGGATTTCACAGGGACCTGGCGTGGCAGCAGCTGATCCTCTCAGGGAGCCGGCGGGGTTCTGCAGGCTTCCTTACAAGGACCCGATGGGGGAGAGGTGGATGCTCGCAGGGAGCCGGCGGGGCAGAGCCGGGTGCTCGCAGGGACCCGAGTGCGGGTGTCCTTGCGGGGTGCCGCTGTCCGCGGTGCTGACCGGAGCTGCTGGCCGCGGTGCTGACCGTCCCGGCCGCTGGCCGCGGTGCTGACCCCAGCAGGGCCGGGGGCCGGGGGGCTCTCACGGCGGCCAGTCGGGGTGTGCCGTGGGCCCCCATCCGGCTGACACGTAGCCCTCGGTAGGCTCCAAGCCCCCATATCCCAGCGCTCACCCCATAGCAGGATGCCTGTCTGATCCAGGAGCCGGGATCTCCCAGCCAAGGCCACGCAGGGAGGCACTAACAGGATGACTGATGGCCCTGCCCGTCTMTTAAGGCCCTCATCCCTCTGCACTACCACGTGGAGATGGAAAACTCTCCAGCAGGCTGGACAAGCTCTTTTTTCCCGGCAGTTTCTGTGCTGTTCATCCCAGCACCCTCATTGTCTGTGCAATGTTTGTGGTGACAGGCTCTCAGACCCCAGCTTTCTTCTCTCTCCTGCGTCAAATCCACCCCCTACCACTGCATCATCACTCGCTGTGGGTGACAAACCCCTCCTGAATGGAGTGACTTCTCTGGCAGTGACGTATCCTGTGAAATGTGCACCCTGGAGTGGCTTCGGGAGACTGAAGGACTTTGACCTTTCCTTTTGTCAAGTTTTCTCCCACGGGATTGGGAGCTGGCACTGCACTTCTGGGAGATGCTTCCCCATGAGAGAGAAGAGGGGGGCTGGTACAGATGGGGACTGCAAATCTGGGCCCTTCCTGTAGGATACCAGAGCAAGGATGGTTGTACCGAGTGCTGAACAACCCTGATGATGATGATGATGATGATGTGCTGGGCCCAGTCATGCAATCTGCAACCAGTGAGACAACGTGGAGAAGGCAAAAGGCCAAATCTCTGCTCTCCTGCTGCTTTTGGAGTGGTCAGAAAGCAGATGGAGGTGCTCATGGAGCTGCTGGAACAACGGAGAGGGTCTGTGCTGGCAGCTCCAAGGCAGACAGCTTTGTGTTTGCCTGTCCATGCTCTGTCTCTGGGTTGGGAGGGCCCGGAGAAGCACAGGACGTGCCCAGGGTGTCCTTGTCCTCAGCAGCTGTGACCTCCAGGGAATGTGGGAGCTGCACTTTGGACATCAGGGCAATGTGGCCTCAGCCCTGGCCTGCAGGAGCTGCGGGGCTGCCTGGCTGCAGGCTGGGGCGTTCCTGTGGCACAGGAGGGCAGATCCCAGCACTGCTCCTTGGTGCCAGAGACAGCGGCCATCAGAACCATTCACCTCCCCAGCCTGTGCCTCCAGCCCACCTTCTCCATACTGGGGTCTGTCCCCAAGCACAGTTCTGCCCTGGGGGTGGTAGGAACCCCCAGATCCTTGCCTGCTCATTTCCCCAGAGAGAAATGCCTGCCCGGCCTCTCCCCACTGCTGCCTGGATCCTCCTGYGCCCGGACACTTGAATCTCTGGCTTTTCTATTTGAAGTGACTTTCCAGCTYGCTCAAGGTTTGGAGTTTCTGTGCTCCAGACGGGCTGCCTGAGTGCCCTGGGCAGGGGGGACCTGGCTCAGCTTCCCAAGGCAGGACTGGGAAAGCTACTGAACCCACCCAGCCCCCCGAGCTCGGCCCCCGGGGACCAGCTGAGGTCTGAGCTCGTTGGATCCATTGCCAAAACCTCCTGCGGGCCGCATGTGAGTCTGGCGACTTGTCAGCATCTGTCTCCTCCTGTGACCGTCCCCTCGGGCTCGCGAGGCCCCGGGTGCCCCTCTGCCACCACCTGCCCTCTCCCTGGGGGCAGCCAGTGTGCCAAGCGGCTCTGGCCGCGGGCGCGGTGCCGCAGCCGCAGCCTCTCCGTGCCGCCCGGTAATTATCTGTTTGGATTTGCGCTCCACGGCTGTGTGAGACACCGCGGTGCACGTTCTGTTTACTTCCCTAATTGCTGCCAAGCACCGAGCCGCTGGTTTTAAGTTTCTCTCYTCTCTCCCCTCCCCTTCTCCTGCTTTCAAGCGAGTTTAACACATGTCCAAGCACCGGCGGCCCAGCTCCGCTGTCGGGCATCGTGAGCGGAGGCAGCGGCGGCCGCATCCAAGCCGGGAGCGGCGCCAGACTGTCTGCRCAGGGCTGGGCTCGTCCCCGGAGGCTGCATCTCGCCGGGACGCTGCCACCGAGCCGGGCTGTCTGCTGGCACCTCCGCTCGCACGGCGGGAGCGGCTGCAGCAGCTCCCACCAGCCCCGTCCCACGGCCCCGCTGTGCTGGGAACGGCGTCCTCTGGGAGAACGTGCCGTGTATCCCGTGGGATTTTCCAGCTGCGCTCCTGAGCTCTTTTTTGGGTGGCTGCTTCCCACCTTGGCTGCTCCAGGAGAGCGAGATGAGGACAGTGATGCTCTGAGGGTGAAAGGGWTGGGGTGGGGCAGCAGAGGATCTCGGGTGCATCCTCGTTCCAGGCTGCATGGAGCATCCTCAGGGACCACGGAGCTTGGGCCTGTGCAGGATATTCCTCCCTCGGTACCTCTCCATCGGGGCTTGACTTTCTGCATCCCAAACCAAGCAGCTATAATCATCCCTTGGCTTTAATCTTGGATCCGGAAGGAGCTGGCAAGGAAGAAGGTCCTCAGTTCCCATCATGGAGGGAGGGATGGATGGATGGATGG